AAATTTTAAAAATTGTTTTGGTATTTTTCATACATACACGAAATCATAAATTGCCTCGTTAAACGTTGTAATTTGTATTCAAATTCAATTGTATTTCCACGCACTAATATAGAATATCTTGACATCATAAATGTTTTAAAGACGAACACCATATCTTATGATGAAAAATTTCAAACGAGAGCTGATAAAATTAATAATAATGTTTCAAAGTAAAAAGCTAATGGTAATATTGACTGTGTTTTAACAGGGGTGGATTTTTGGGTTACTTTATTATGGGATTTGAAATATTTATGACTTAACAACACACTGCAGGAATAATTAAAATAATAGAAATCAAAATTGAGAAAAAATAACACAATTTAAAAAATAACAAATGAGTCTTACTCTCTTTCTCTCTGTTCGGTGGGGTTTTTTTTCTTTTATATTTTTTTTAACATAAAATAATTCTATATAATACCTTAGTGATCCTCGAAACATCTTTTGGTTACAATTTCATTCCAATTTAATTCTATGTGACCAAATATTCAAAAAAAACTACAGGAAGACGTTAATGTTAAAAAAATTTTAAATTAAAAAAAATTATGTTGGTCACACCAATTGTTTGGCATGTAGCACTTTTCCCTTCAACAAGTGAAAATAATTGCTTTTAAAAACAATCTATGTACATTAAAATTACATTAAAATTTCATTCATATACGAATTGCATTTTTTGTTCACCCGAAATGTATGCAATTTTTGAAATAAAACAAAAAAAAAAAATTGAAAAAGGCGTTAACCTAAGAGACATTAAGAAAAATAATTATCCCCTCTATTATGTATATCGGTATCGGCCGATAAACGATAATTTATCGGCAAAATTTTGTGTTTGTATTACATTGTTTATCGGTAAATTTTATCGGAGTCGGGAAAGCTTTTTTTCCTGTATAGGAAACGTATTAGCTGGTATTATGAAAACGATAAATTGTCGGATTTTCACCGATTTAAAAGCGGGTACAAATTTTTAGACGACAGATTTTTTTTTTTGTAAAATCTTTATTTTATCAAGAAAACTGGTGTAATTAGTTGCTTTTTTAAAATGTAGGCATTTTTTCTAAATTATTTTCTTTCAAAATGTTATTCATATATTTTATTTAGGAGTAAAATCGTAAGCAACAAAAAACAAATTGCGCGGTTAGTAGAAAAAATGGAAGAGGACTTAAACCTGGCAAGGAATGATAATCTGAAATTCTGGATAAACCTAAAAAATGTGTACATATTATATAAATAATAAAATAAAATAGGTACCTAAACATACATTTTGTTGTCTAAATCCAATGGATTAGTTGAATCTCTTATATGTCGTCTTTGAATAGCTTGCGTTTCTTCACTTTCAAAATATAATGCACGCGACATTTTCCCGATATATGTATATTTTTATTTTACAAATTTAACAGAAAATAATTTGCTTACAACAACTTTTTAGCACATCAAAGCCAAATTCAAAATAGTTTTAAAAAATTTTTGAAAATAACTTTTGAAAGAAAACAAATGTCATTAGAAAAAAAAAAAACTTTTTCTCCAATTTACAAAAACAAAAATTTGTATGAAAAAGCTTCTTTTAATCGGTTGAAATATTTTTATCGGTATCGGTTCATAATACAGAAGAAACTTAAAACCGATTAGAACTGCCGATAATATATCGGCCGATACCGATGTTCATAATAGAGGGGTATATTTTTTAACGACATGGCATTTACCGTTAGCTTTCTGCGTTTATATAAATTTGTAAAACCTTGCAGTTTCGGAAATATAAGGTGCCAGAAATTCAAATTTTAAAAATTTTGAGAAAAGGTGGAGATCAAAAAAATTTTCTTCTAACGAAATAAGCTGCATGTAAAGATCTATGTACATATTAAGTTTCAAATCTATGAATATAAAATTTTATTGCATATTGATCAATGATTGTAAATGATATAATTTTCGAATTTTAATAAAAACAAATTACATATTACATTTATATTGTATTGGTCAAAATCAATAATTATAAATGTTGAATAAAATTTTCTAAAAATAAAGATAATTCTGACTTCAAAATTGCTTTAATACGCAGTATTAATATATAATTCAGCTTAAAAGATTGGCAACTAAATCATTTTATTTTCTTTTCATTCAGAATGGCTCAGAGCATCAACAATTTGAATTTAACATGTAAAATGTTAAAAACTACGTATTATTCACCAATAATCACTCATAATTATTTTTACAACTCACGAAATTTCTCAAGTGGAAGAATTTCGATAATTCAGACATGCACTGGGAAAGTTTTAAATTAAGTCTTAAAAGTTTTTTTACGCATATTTACAAATCTGCAAAAATGAAATATTTTGAGTTTTTGTAACGGCATTCTAACAATTCTTCAATATCCACCATTGTTCATTGTTTTGTTATACTCTTTTTCTGCTAATTTACAATATTTTTTCAGTAGTTTAAAGAAAAAAACTTAAAAATTCCTTTTACACAACTATAATTTTCGAAAATCCTTTTTTTGCAGATTTTGCAGTTTTTGACTTATCGAAAAAAGACTTAAGTTAGAATTGAGTTATCCAGAATCACCGATATTGTTTTAATATAAATTTATAAAAAAATTCAAAACAAATTAAAATTTTATTAAATATTTAAAGAATATTAATCATGATTTTGGCTGTTAATAAATTTTATATTAATATAAAGTATAATTGCAAGGGCAAATATAGGACCTGATTTCATTCATTTAAATTCAAATCTCAAAAAAACAAATTTCTAATTGAATGATTTAATTTTAAAAGTGATCAATTTCCATTTTAAATTAAAAATTGAATGTTACTCCATTTTTGGGTTAAAAATAACCAATAAATCCGGTTAACTAATTATTTGTTTTATGCGGAATATTGACTTTGCTATCTAACAATGTTATTTTCAATTCTGAACTATTATTATGATATTATCATATACCTTTGCACATAAAAAAAGAGTTTTAAAATCGCAAATAGACTAATGATCTCTTTCAAATATAAACCATTCCATTAAAGAAATGTTTGGAGGCAACATCCTGAGATACAAAATGTAATAATAATACTATATTATGGTATACAAATTGCGGGTTAAAAGTGATTGAATTAATGAATTGTAAAATTTTGTAGTATTACTGAACTTTAATAACGAGAATACAAATATATTATTATAATTTGGGTGTCCAGATGGTAGCCAAATAAATTAAATAATAATTAAATTAAAAAAATTACAAACTTTAAAAATTTAATTCATAGTTTTTCTTAAACTTGATTTGTACAGAATTAGCTGGGTTACTGCTAGATGTTTGCAAATATTTTAAAATTTCAAAAATTCAGGACTACAGTACAACACGCTTTAATTGACATCCTTTCGGGCAAAAGTTTTTGTGCATATATTCGTATTGTGCAGTTATTCATCTCCACATTAGAACACATTAATGTAAAAAACGCAATGCATATAATGGAGTTTTGCTTATACGCGCGTTGCAAAAGTGTGTTCGGCTGTATACAATAATTCAGCAACTATACAACTTATATATTAAAGAGTGTATTAAAAGCACAATATTATTTTAATTTAAAAAACAAGGTAATTTTTTTACTTTATTATATTGTTTGTAATTGTGTATGATAAAATAACAAAATCTGATGTGGTCAGCACATAATCGACCGCAATGTGTGTTGTTTAGTTAAGTGAGAGTGTTACATAATATTATAAAAATGCCTGTTAAATACTTCTTTCCAATTATTAGGGCATTAGTAAGCTTAATGTTAACATAGCTAGAAAAATGTAAATTTGGCTCTTAGTAGAGTTTTGCTTTGTGCTACCTGAATTCCCTGAAATGCTCACCAGTTAGTTTCGGTAACAACCCGAAGTCAAATATCAAATTTCAACAAATTCCATCAATACGTTCCGTAGATATGGTAGAAAATGTAGAATCACCCTTGAAATCAGTTTCCGACCTCCGATCTTTCCAAAAAATTTATATGTTCATTGTTTTAATACAAAGAATTTAAATATTGAATTTCAATGAAATTGGCTGATTATTTCTCTTTATGTATATTTGGCCCGAATTTGGCAAAAATGTATATTTGGCCCGACACCTGATTTCTTCCAAAAGTTAGGAGGTTTCGCGGACAATTGAGCGAAGTTTATATATGAAATTTCAAGTAAATCTGTATCAAAATGTATAATGATCAAAAATGTAACACGGGCCCGCTAAAAAGTGCAGTTCCCGAGGCTTAATATTACCCAAAAGTTGATCAATCCGTGCAATAGTCGAAATAAACTTACATATAAAATTTCATTAAAATGGGTTCTCCCGAACTTGAGATTCACGCGTACATACTTAGACAGACAAACCGACAGATAACCTACCTATTATGTATACACAATGCGGTCGGTAGAAAAAGGAAAATAATTACAAAAAGGAAGTTAAAATTAATTCTATGGTGGGCGGTCAATAAAGTATAAGTCCATTTTTTTCAAAAATGATATTATTTTGTAAATAGTAAACAAAACTCGTGCTTCTTGTTCTGTAAAAATATAATAACTTAATTCAAATTAGAATTACAAAAACTCTATATTCCTTTGAACGTCCACAAAATAATAATTGTCTTTTTTTTTAAATATTTTTGTCTTAATTTTTCCTTTAATTTGTATAATAAAAATGTCCTTTTTATTTGATTTTTATTCTTTTACTCACCACACACATGTATACTAAATTGAACAATTTTAACTTTCTTTCGCTTTGTTTGCTATTATTTCTTCCGGATTTTTTAATTTGATTTGCCATACACATGCAATTTTTTTTCATAATTATGGTATGTGTATTTGTATATATGTATATATTTTATATATATTTTTATATGTACGAGAACATTTTGTTCATTTTAATTAAATTTTAGTATTTTTTTTTTTTTTAATTTTTTGTGATTTTGTTTTTTTTTTTTTGTTATTTTTTAATTTGTACATTAAAAATGTTTTCTTAATACAGAAGACATAGATGTAGGTGTCAACTGTGATACAGAAGCTACTGCTACCGCTGCAGCCGCTGCAGCTGCAGCCGCTACTGTTGCTACATTTGATGATTGCTGTTTTAATAATAATTGCTGATGCTGCTGATATTGTTGTTGTATTTGTTGATGTTGCTGCTGATGTTGTTGTTGTTGTTGTTGTTGATGCTGTTGATGTAATAGGTGTTCTGCTTGCTGTTTTTCTTGTGCTGTTATTATATTATTATAATTATTATGATTGAATAATGATGTTGAAGATGAACAAAGTGATGGAATTGTATTCATACTAGTTGAAATTGTAGTAGTAACAGCATTATTAATTGTAACAGTTGTTGCTGCTGATGTTGCTGTTGCTATTGTTGATAGTATATTTGATGATGAAAAAGAAGGAGATAATGATGATGATGATGTTGAAGTTGATACTGAATGAATTATTGGTAGAGAAGGTGATGTAACTGATATATTTGATGATAATGATGATAATAAAGATGATGGTGATGATGATGATGGAGATGATATTAAAGATGATGATGATGGTTGTTTTGTTGTATATGATGATGAAACTGATGTAACTGATACTGATGCTACTGCGGCAACTGCTGCTGCTGCCAACATTTGATTAGGAAATCCAAATAGCGTTGATCACTGTAGTCTTGGCCAATAATTCGCACTTAAATCAGCTGATTGTGATGGTATTTGAACTGGTACTGATACACCAGCTGATATAACACCTTTATTTAGGGAAAAAAATCAAAGAAAAAAGAAAAAAAAATTTTTTTTGCCATATTAAATTAAAATTATATTTTTATATTTATAAAAATTTTGGTAATTTAAATATTTAATTATAATATGGTGGTAAGCAATTTCAAAAAGATTTTAATCTTAATCTTAAACTGTAATATAATTATAATTTATAAAATAAGAGCTTATTAATATATATGTCGTAACTGCTACAAGTTGAAGTATGGTATACTAAATACCATATTGATCTACAAAATTTCAAAGCGAAATTCCCTAGGAACTTTTATGGTCGCAATTTAAAAATTAAGTAAAGTGTGAGCACTAAAGAATCTAAATCTCTATTTAATAATATCTGTGGCTCATTCGAGCTAATGGCTACTAAATTGTCTCCTTCAAATTGATTTTAATATAGATATAAAGTTAAGACCAGTTTCCAAGGTAAGAATTACAAAGTTTGAATAGATCTTCGAAAGAACCTTAAATACTTCATTTTCCGTAAATACCCAATACTTTGCATCGATTTTCTAACCATCTGCTTGGATTTGGATTTATTTTTTAGTTTGAAGTGAATTTTTTTTTTCGACAGTAAAATTATGATCGTCAGTTTTGCAGCGAACCAGACATTTTATACGTTAACTATATTGTAAGTAAAATTAAAATTTTTTTTTGGAATTGCACTCGTTATAACTTCTTATAATTAAATATCAGGTTAATTAAAATATTTTTAATTTGTAAAATGAAAAAAAGAAAAAAAATATTATTAAAAGACATTCATAGTTTTTTTTCTTCAAATCGAATAATTTTTAACAAGAATTTTAATTAAAATTAAATATTAATTATCATAAAGAGAGATAAAAAATTTTTAAATTGTAAAAACAACTTTCATCATTTCTATTATTCTACCTTTACTCGTTAGAGCTCCAATAACAAAACAAACCAAAGAAAAAATAAACCAAGGAAAAAAAACAAACGGAAGTCTTTTGTTTTTTTTTTCTTTTTTTGATTTTACCAACCTGTACTACCACTACCAGATGAACTACCGTAAGCTCCATGTTGGGATGGTGGTTGTTGATGTGCTGCAGCTGGATTACATGTTGATCTAGGATGAGCTGCATATGGAGAGCCCAATGACAGCGGATCATGAAACATATATGGATAAGTATCTCTTTGTTGTAAACAAGATGATGTCATTGAACCCAGTGATGGTGACATTGTACTACATTAAAAAAAAAAACAAATTTGTTATAATATATTTGTTAATTAAAAATTTAATTATATTTTATGGTAAATAATTAATTATTTCATAATTATTATATATAGTTAATATCGTTTTATGTTATTGAATAATTATTTATTAACTTACTCATATTTATAATTTTCTGCCATTGTTGCAATTGGCTGTGGAATCGATGAATACATTGAATTGAAACCAGAATTTAAGGCTAAACGTGGAGCAGCTGCTTGTATTGGTGGACTTATTGAATGACCAGATGGATTACCTCCACCTCCATTATTGCTGCCACTACCATTGCCATTATTATTACCACCATTACCATTGCTATTATTACCTCCATTACCACCACTATTACCGGTACCAGTAACAGCACCACTATTATTACCACCATTTCCACCACCAATGCCATTGTTACCGGGTGTATTGCCAGGACCGCTATTTGTATTATTTGTTCCTATAATTAAATTGATTATATATGTTTATTTTAGCAATATTTTAAATTTTGAAATTTTTTTTTTAAATTTTTTTCCTTATTTTCAAAAAGAAATATATTTAAAAAGACACTTTTGTCAAAATTCGAACTTTTCTTCTAATTATAAATTAGAAGAAAAAAATCCTTGAATTTTTGGATAATTTTAATATCCAAAATGAATAAATGATTGCTTAAGAATTACATTAGAAAACAGTCATATGTGATATGTGGTAAAATAATTTGTATTAAATCATTGCGCAGGTTGAGTAGTTGAGTAGCTTCAGAGATATGCTTAAACTATTTTGAGGATTGAAAGTTAGTAACTGTTGTCTGTTAACAGTCTTCATCACATCTCAATTGATAAAAAAAAATAATAGCAAAAAAAAATTTTTAAGAAATTTCGAATTTTGTAAAAGAAATTAAAAAAAAACACAAAATCCTGACTTTGCCAGAAAACTATGGCTCAAATCAAATTAATTATAAGACCAAAAATAAAAAACAATCAATCGCCTGTAAAACAAGCTGATTAATGATAATTCTATGTTGTTTGGTTCCAAAGTTATAAGCATTTATTTATATGCAGGAAAAGTTCAATACCTTTTTTTTACAAGCTGTAGCTTGAGAACGAGTATATCTGCAACCCCCTCCAACCTCATTTATACAAAGTTTTGCTAGAAGTTAAACAAAGAATCACCCTTAAAATTTTTTTATACACACATGCAACTATATGGTCGTACGCAATTAAACATTGAAACAGTTTGTATTATTTTACAAACTGATTTTATTTATTAGTCAACACAATCGATTCAAACTGAAGCCATTGTTTAGTCGCTGAGATATGTGCGCAACGATTTTGCAATTAAATAATAATTGCAAAACTAAAAATTACATATCTACCTGATCTTTGGCAGATATGCAATTACATAAAATTATGACAATTAATCAAAATTAATAATAACATTCTTAAGTCCTTATATACAGGATCTATAATTTATTATAATAAGGTCGGGTTGTGTCATTTATATCGCGAGTATAGCTGTAAACCAGTTCCTATTGAACATATAGTGTCTACCAATATTTTATGAAAAAATTACCATTTTGTTGTTGCTGCTGTTGTTGTTGATCTGATGACGATCCATTTTGCCCTCCATTCATATTATTATTATTACTTGTACTACTTCCGCCACCACCACCGCCTGGTGTATTACTACCTGCATTACCACTTGCACTATTATTTTGTTGTTGTGATACAACAATACCGCCACTATTATTCGTTGCTGATGATGTTGCATTACTTGTATTTGTACCGGTATGATCAACTGATCTTCTTTGGGTTCTTAGTTTTTCTTCACGACGCCATTTCGCCCTCCGATTTGAAAACCATACCTAATTTTTTTTTTTGTTTTATATTACCAGAAAAATGTTTTTTGTTCGTGTTTTGTTTTTTTTTAATAAAATTTCAGATCACAAGAACCAAAAAAAAAACAGTTGGAGACAAAAAAATAGAAACAAATAGAAATAAAATTTAAATATCAATTAAAAACGGAAACCAGAAAAACAAAAAGAAAATCAAAAAAATTTCAAAATAAAAACATTGTAACAACAACAAACACACACAAAGAAAAGAGATAGAAAAGAGAATTTTCATTAATTTAATATTTTTTGTTGTTTGTTTACTTAATTAAATTTCTTTTTTAAATTTTTTATATTTTTTTATTTTACAAATTTAAAAAAAAATTATAAAATTTTTTGACTTAGGTTTATATATATGCATGTGTATTTATAAATAAATACATACATATATTTATATTCTGTCATATTGTGGTTAAAAAAAATTTATAGACGATATTGTATAAAAGGAAAATTGTATTTGAGGAAAGGAGAAAATTTTGTAGGAAAAAAATATGAGCAAATCGCTGCTGTCAAAATTGTTGACTATTAATTAATATTTTATCATATAAAAAGAAATATTTTTCGACTCATGTATGAATTATGGCATTTAATCTGACATATTGCCTGACATATTGCTTGTTTAATGACATATCAGAAACTGAAAATACAGTAAAATAACAGTGAAGTCATCCAATGTCGAACATATTTTTAAATAAATATAATAATATTGTGTTCATATTTTACATAGTTGTACACTTAATTTATATAACATTAGAATATTATTTATTGATAATATTCTTGTGGATGATATGTTTTAAAGACGACCGAATCCGATCGAATGTAAGCAATGTACATATGTACATGTAATAATGACGATTACATGTAATAATGTAGAAAACAATGTGGAAAGCAATTTGGTAATAATTTCTTTCATAGCTCTGTGTAGAATTTTCATTGTTTATTTCAGTATTGTAATGATTTTAATAATGTGAGTAATATGCATATGAAGAATAAATAATTATTTTTTTTTTTTAATTTTGCTCGTATCAAATAAATTTCAGAATGTTCGGGCAGGGAAATGTAAATTAAATTTCTAAAAAGTCCCAACAGCATTAAAAAAAAGGTTTGATTGCGAAAAGGAACATTTAAATTGAATGGAACCACAATTTAGTTTCTGTAGCAACTTTACGAGCATTTTATGAATATAAGTAATGCCATGTCACATGAAAATAAAAAAAAATAATAATGACAATACTAAAATGCATGTTAATGTCGAAATAATTTTCTGTATAAATATATACATAGTGTAACAAAGTGCACTGCAATATGCTATTGTATAGACCCTCATGAGTAGACAAAACTTTTGTATGAAGACGATGTTCACATTTCAACAGGCTCGGAGTTACAGATACTTTTATACAGTAAAAAGCTTGCTATTTACATTTTAAAATCACTTTAATAGTAGTTTGATAATAAATTTATAAAGTCTTGAATTGGAAGAAGGTCAACAAGAAAGTTCGACTTCGATCCCTCCGTCCTTCGAGTCCTGAGTTTCATCCATGCGCTAGTCGAAAAAATTCATTTATCAATAGATTGTTGAAATCAAAACTGACTAACAGGACAGTATCAATGAGAGGTGCCATATGATACTCTTCGGGTCATTAATTTTTGCAAATGTGAAGAAAATTCGTTTGTTAAGTAGAACATTTGCATAACAGAACAGGGACACCATTTTGAACTGTTGTTGTATAATTTTCAAAATCTTAATTTTCTTATTGAAGAAAAAAAATTGGCATAAAATAGTATTTACTGTTGTATTGTTTTTCTCAATAACTCCTAGACCAGGTCAGGTAGCATGATGACTCATACACTAAATTGAAGCTCAGTTGTCAAGGTTGCCACCTCTGCTAAACCTAGAAAATTAGCGTTTTTTAAAAATGAAAAGTTAAAATTTCAAACTTTTCAAACTTTAAAGTCATGTGATTCCGAAATCTTAACAGATTATAACTAATGTGGATATTCATAAAAAAGCCCTAACTCGGAGATTTCCTAATCAGTCGCGGAATTATACTAATATTTCAAAAAATAAAAAAATCGGTCGAAATCGACTTTAAGCCCCTGTAACTACGAATGTGGGTTTGTCTACTCATTAAAAGTATTGTATAGAGTATATGTTTTGTCTTCTCATGAGGGCCTATATGATGCTGTATTAAGATTTCCGTGCAATTTGTTACGAGACACCCTGTATAAATAATTTTATTAATTTATGCATATTATTAATTTTTGCAATAATATAGCAAGTATTAAAGTATAGTTGTAATTGATAATGACTACAAGTGCATTTGACACGGCCACGAACCAGCAATCAATAACTTATGCTAAAAAAATTTTTGAGTATCAATTTTCGTATACAACTTTCGCATGCAACCGGCTGACAGCTTATCTTCCTCAAACATTTCGCTTTTTGCACAAAAAAAACAAAATCAACAGTTTAAATTCTTTTTATTTAAAAAAATGCCAAAAAATCTTAACAATATTAGCAGGCAATAATTGACATTGTTGTTAACTACGTGACATTTGTTTTTTACATTGACAACATCAAATGTTACAATGACTGCAATATCGATTAAGATGCAAGAAAAGAATTCAACGTCCATTTTACATTATCGATTACACTTTACAATTCGAATTGCACATTATAACTGAATTATACTGTGTAATTGCATTAGTGCAAGCACAGTTAATATTAGTTAATATTTAGGCAAAATTTTTCAAATACAACATCGATTATAGAGATAATTCTGACAACAACGATCATTTCTCATATTTAATGAATTTTTTTTTATTTTTTTCTTTTTTAATCAATTACTTTAGCACCTGTAACCGATAGTTGTTAGTTGCCGGGCTATTGTGCGTAAAAATATATTAAAAAAAAAAAATTTTATATAAAAATTATAGGTACAAATACTTAAAAACAAAAAACAAAAATAAAGAAGAAAACAAAGGGGGAAGAAAAGAAACAATCATAAATAAAAGAAACATAGAAATCATATTTTCAATTTTAATCTAAAACCATAACTAAAACCAATGTGTAAACTACGGCTGACAGAAATACAGGCAGCTGACAAATTTACACGTGTTCTTAGGGGATCTATAGAGGGTCTTTTTAACATCATAAATCTACCACAAGATAACCTTTTTATTTAAAAAAAGTTGAAATTCGGGCCATTTCGGGGCTGAAAAGTTCCAATGTCAGATTTTTCTGGGACCCTAGAGGCAAAACCCTATCTAATGCCTTTTGTCCCATGTCCCTAGCCCTTCTAGAAGTACCCGTACTTTTTGACACCTGATGTTCAAATTTTTAGTAAGGCTAATTCAATAATTTACCAAAACTACCGCATCAGAATTTTTAAAACTTGTACAAGTTTCTTTATAATACTTTTATTATATCCGTACGAACGTATGTTCTTTGATCAATCTGTGTCTTAGTCGAAATAAACTTACACATAAAATTTATTGGTTCAGCCGAACATGAGATACACGCGTCCACACATAGACCGACAGGTTGCAAAATAGTATATTTACGCTTCCCTACCATGAAGAAGTTCGTTTTCACAGAAAACTCGATAAGCAAAATTTTTTGCCATCCCATAACCTCCCTTATTGTATGCAATGCGGTCATTAAAGAGATAATACAGTAAAAGGATATAATTGCAAAGCAAATATGAATTTCAATTATTTAACAATTAAAATATTATTGCTGAATAAAGAACTGAATTGTTTACTTATTTATTGTTTATACTAAATGTGCATTAATTATTATGAACTTATATATATATTTTTTTTCGATTATTAAATTTATTTCAGAAATTCAAAATTGCAGGAACATTCTACGTATGTAAATAGGGATGTTAAAAGTATTCGATTGACTAACTTAAAGGATAATGTTGAACTATAGTAGCATTTTGATATTTATTATTATTTAGAATTTTAAGGACACGTCTCATCGGTATATATTTAAAACAAGTCGAGATTCCTTAATAAAACGCAAATGTGTTTATAATAATTATTTATTGTACATTTGTATATAGATATATCTTTATATTCCACATAAATTACAAATTCAAATCGGTTGAGAATTCAATGGAAGAAAAAAAGCTTTTCTATTAAGGCACGTACAACTTTACTGGGCCAGTGTAATAAATGGAAAAAGACTGAAATGATATTATTTTATTCATTTTTCTACACTTTAAAAATAAAATTTCAACACCTCTGGCCAACCCCATTCAATAAAAATATTGCTCTTTCAACGATGCTATGATAGGTTTTAAATTTTTCAAATGATATTTCAAATCCTTTAAAAAAATTTTTTTTCCGCCTATTTTTCTTAATTGTTTCTATTTAACCCTCTAATAATTATATTATGCAATAGCTATAAAAACTATTTTATGACCTTTATCTTTTAAATCGCCATATGCACATACATACATACCTATACATTACAACAGGGAGAGAAAAATTATTCATAGCATTAGAAATTATCTTTATACGGATGCCTCACGTAATCTTATGAATCTTATAATTTCTGTACATTGTACCCTTTCACTTTTTACTGCACAACTCTTTCATTTTTTTTCGCTTAATTTTGATTTATTGCTATATACATAGACGCAAAATAATAAAATTTCATTTTATATGCATAATAATAATATTAATGACATCTAGAATAATAATAAAAATCTCATAATTTTGTAGTACAGAATTTTTATTTAAGTGGTGATAAAAATGGTGTAAGTTTTCGTTGAAAACAAGAAAAATAAACGGAAATATTTTTTAACGTTATGCAACAAAATATTTACTTAAAAAACAACACACAAGATACGAGTAATAGTCGACTTCATTTCAAACGATAATCGTATGTATTCGTATTAAAATATTTTCATTGGAAGTATTCAGCGTACAGGTATTGACGAGCAAGCTTAGTTAATTTATGC